GCCTGCACGTGCTGTGGCAGCGGGACTCGCCGGCCGGCAAGATCCCCGCGCGCCGCCTGCGCCGCACCGCGCGCCTGCACTGCAAGCTGGGGCCCACGGGCAAGGAGATCCACGGTGAGGGCCGGCCGGGCGGGGGGCACTGCGGCCGCGTTGCAGCTGCCCGGGGGAACGGGGCGAGGGTCAGTAGGTTCCAGAGTGAACTATGCCAGCCCCGCTAGCTTGTGTGGTTGCTAGTAGGTTTTGTGCATGCCATGGTGCTCGCGCAAGCTCACGCACTTGTAAGCAGGTTCCAGCGTGAACACTGCACTGGTCGTGCTGGCCCGTGTGGTTGTCTCTAGTACCAGAGTGAGCATTGCCACTCGTGCCCACCTGACTGGTTATTGGCAGGCTCCAGAGTGAACACTGTGTGAGTCGTGCCGGCTCCTGTGGTTGTCAGTGGGCTCCAGAGTGCTCCTAACTCCACTTGACAGAGGAGCGCACCGTGCTGAGGGTCCCTGTGCCCCTGGGCTGGACTCAGGTTTTGAAAAGGGGGGTACGGAGGGTGAGGTGCTATCACATGCAAACAACACTGGTTTTTCTCTAGTTAAAAAGACACTAGGAGCTTTACTAATCTGTCAGGGCTGAGGGTTGCCTTGCTCAGTTTGAGATTGTTTTAAACTCATTCCAGTGATGTTAGATTAAAGCAAAAACAGTCTGCCGGGCTGTGAAATTGGAGCTGGGTGACCCGGAGCAGCAAACGAGCAGCAGAATTACAGAACAAAGGCTCTCTGGGTGGGTGGACTTGTCAGTAGGTTCCAGCGTGAATGGCACAATTAATCACACTGGCTCGTGCAGTTGTCCGTAGGCATCCAGAACAGGATCATTAAGGCCTGTGGAATGGACAGTTTAGAAGGGATGACGTAGATAAGCATCTACAGAGTCAAGTGGCTCCCTTAGCACTGCCTGACTAGAAATGCTGCTGCCACTACCAGCAATTGGTTTTTAACTTCAGGTGGAGCAGGCATCAAAGCAGGGTGTGAGTGCAGCATTCCCCTCACCTCCAATCTGCCCTGTCCCTGTGCAACGGTTAAAGGTGAGAGGCACATTTTTAAGAGAATAAGAGTGAACGCTTCCAAGTGCAGAACATGGCGTCCCCCAAGGAAAACCATAATCCCTCAGGTGCTGTCAGCCAGACCAGTGCAATCCCTTCCAATCCCTTTCTGACACTTGTTAGTTGACTCTCTTACATTCTTTTCAATTCTTGGCACAAGTAAGGAAATAATCTGTCAGGTGCTTAGGAAAGGAAAAGAGGGGATAGGAAAATGCACCACTGAGTCAATTCAGGCAAAGGGTTGTGGGAGAAAAAACACATCCAAGGTCAGATGTTTCAGCACCATCTCAGAGTCTGGGTGGAAGGTCTTTGTAGCCTTGCATGCCAACAAAAATATTTTTGTCAGACTACCTTTGCCTTCCAGGGGTGGAGCAGGGAGGAGATAGTGGTGTCTAAGATTAGCTGTACGGGGGAGTTAGGAAAAGGCATTCATTTGAGTTAAATGTGCCTTTAAAGTTGATCCTGAAGGGAACTTCTGGGAGTTCTCCCCCAAAGGAAAGGCTTAGGAGCAGCTCTAAAAGAAAAACATTACATCTCCTTTTTTTTCAGTAGCTTGCTCACATATCCCTTTTTCCTGGAGGAGTCAAGCCCCTGTGTTTGATTGAGTTCCTTAACTTATTCTTGAGCTAAGCAGAAGCATCTGACAAGGAAACCATCCCTGTTCCCTGTTCAGTTTCCATTAACCTCTTTCTCATTTTCACAGCTCTGAAAAGGCTGAGAGAATCTGCCAATGCTAATGACCTAGACACAGGTGAGACTTCACCAGGTGGGCTTACTTCCAAACTTTGCTCTGGAAGGGCAGGCTTGCACTGGGCATCTTCAGGAAAAGGAGTAGGAAATAGGGTTTGGACATAGCAGGACTGGTCTGGAGTGATGTCTGCTTTTGCTGTCACAGCTGTAAAACCAGTGTTCCATGCTGATATCCCTGTGTGATGAATCTTGCAGTGTTCTGTGCCGCCTCACACCAGTGAAATGATTGATAACAACTTGATTACCCCTTGAGGTTCTACCATTAGCATGTATGAGACAGCTTGTTGTAGAGAGGAACAAGGGGAACCTTTCCTCGGATATCTCTTTCCCTCATTCCCATCTCTGTCCAAACATGTCATAGCTGCTGCACCAGTCAGGGCCCTCACTCTGTTTACACTCTCTTCTCATCTCTCTCTCTCTCTCTCGGTGATGTCAGTGCAGCAACTCTTGGAGGATGGGGTTGACC